GGACCAGGATAGAGGAATCACCCCTATCCCGAGCCCTCCAGAGATCATCAACCAACGCGACCAATGCCGTTTCTGTACTGTGCCCAGGCCGGAAGCCAGACTGACGCGGGTCTAGGTAGACGGCTTCCTCCAGGTGCCGGGAGAACTGACATGCCACCACACTCTCAACAACCTTTGCCAAGAAGGGAAGGTTGGAAACAGGGCGGTAGTTGGCCAATATCGCCGGGTCCAGGGAGGGCTTCTTGAGGAGGGGCCGCACCACCGCCTCTTTCAAGGCGGTGGGTAGGGATCCCTCACCCAAAGAGGCGTTGACAACTCCCTGGAGCCACCCCCGCGTGCCCTCCCGGGCGGCCATAACCAGCCAGGAGGGACACGGGTCCAACAAACAAGTGGTGGCATTCAGTCGCCCCAGCACTCTGTCCATGTCTTCTGGAGTCACGGGGTCAAACTCAACCCATAGATTGGAATCAAGGCCCGCCCCCGTCATCGCGCCCAGACCAGCCTGTTCGGAGGTCAGCCCTTCCCGAATCCAGGCGATTTTATCTTGCAGGAAACTCGCAAACTCCTCTGCCTGCCCTTGCAAGGGGGCCCCTTGTGCCTCCTGATGTAGGAGGGAGTGGGACACCCGAAAAAGAGCGGCAGGGCGGTTTCCCGCAGACGCGATGAGGGCAGAAAAGTAGTTACGCTTCGCTGCCCTCAACGCCACTAGGTAAGTCCTTAAATGTGACCTTACCCGTGTCCGGTTGGTCTCGGAGCGGGTAGTCCTCCAAACACCCTCTAGGCGTCTCCTCTGGCGCTTCATCCCCCTGAGCTCTCCGGAAAACCAGGGAGCCCAGGTGGTCCGGCGACGGGGGAGAGGCCGCAGTGGCACGACCCGGTCTAAGGCCCCACCGGCCGCCCTATTCCAGGCGGCCACCAGGTCCCCCGCCGAGCCGTGGGTCGGAGTCACAGGTATTGGCCCAAGCTCCGTCTGGAATCTCTCAGGATCCATCAGGCGCCTGGGGCGGA